GACAAGTGGTGTAATCTAATAATAATGTCCACTTCAAATTTAATTAAGGACGTTTGGGTCTTGTTTTTTTTTATTCCAGCAACAACTGGTTTTATACATTGTATCAATAATGTAAAGGAGCCAACAGCCAATTGGACAACTCTATGTGGGGTTGTCCCACATAGCTCCAATGTGGAACAGCCCCACATGAAGTTGTCCCATTAGCTGTCGCCTCCATAACGGAGCCAACGGTTGGCTCACTAGCATTATTGTACATTGTATTATGTATGCGACAAAAAATATCAACGTCAGTATGAAACTAGAGTAAAATACTAAAATATGAAATGTTGTTTCTTGAAATGTCTAGACACTGCAAAACTACACAGTACTCACCCCTCAAATCATACATAAATACGTGCACACAGATTGGCAAGAATAGTATAATCAGAAACCGTTTGATAACTAAGCAAAAGCCCAAATAAAAATTTCAGCTGTTAATTAAATAGTCTCATCAATGGCGGCTTCACTAGAAACAGAGCACCCAGTGAAGGCTCTTGCTTGGGCTGCTAAGGATCCATCTGGGGTTTTCGCTCCTCTCAACTTCTCCAGAAGGTTTTGGTTTTTTTTTTTTTTTATTTAATTTTTTTCGTGATTTTAACCGGAAATTGTGTAGTTAACTTAATTGTCCAGTTGTTTTGTGATGGGTGCTTGCTATTTATATGAATTATTGAGAATTCAAAATTAGCCCAACGTATAATTGATGGGTTCAAAATATTCCCAACCACACACTACGCACACTGGAAATAATCAGATTTTGATTAAATAGCATGTAAGAATGATTTTATTAATGTAGGATTCGTTTGAATCTCCTCCGCTGCTTCAGAATATTTGAGTCAACGAAGTAGTATCAAAACCAAAATTTGAAACTTTGCATTAAAATAATATGATAACTCTTCAAATTTATGATTATTGATTTCAGTTTCACAAATTGTTGTACGAGGCAGCTGAACTATTAGGCGAATCGACTCGTTATACTTCTTTAACAAAAAAATAAAAAATAAAAAATTACCTATACTATATATGTTGAAAAAAGTAAAATTGTTTAACCAGTGATATGATAATGTTAGTCATTTAGGCCTTATAAAGTTTGTTGTAAACTAATATATTGCAGGGCAACCGGTGAGCATGATGTGCAGTTCAAAGTTCTCTACTGTGGCATTTGCCATTCAGACCTTCACTTGGCCAAGAACGAGTGGGGAAACACTATTTACCCTTTGATTCCAGGGTAATAATGTTCAATCTTTCAATTCCTCCTTTATTTGTACAAATATTTATTTATTCTGTTGGCTTTGTAGTCATGAGATTGTGGGGGTCGTAACCGAAGTCGGGCCCAAGGTCAAAAAAAGTCAAAGTCGGTGACAATGTCGGGGTCGGTTGTCTCGTGGGTTAGTGCCGCACGTGCGGTGAGTGCGCGAAAAACGAGGAGAGCTACTGCCCGAAACAAGTGCTCTCGATCAACGCGCGCTATTACGACGGCACGGTAACCTACGGTGGCTTCTCAAACCTCATGGTGGTTGACGAGAATTTCGCCATCCACTGGCCAGAGGGCCTGCCGCTCGACGCCGGTGCTCCGCTCCTCTGTGCCGGAATCACGACCTACAGCCCGTTGAAGAGGTTCGGGCTTGACCGGCCCGGAGCAAGTGTTGGCGTAGTCGGGCTTGGCGGAATCGGGCATTTGACGGTGAAGTTTGCAAAGGCGTTGGGGAGTAAAGTGACGGTCATAAGCACGTCGTTGAGCAAGAAGAAAGAGGCAATCGAGACTTTTGGGGCCAACGAGTTCTTGGTTAGCCATGATCAAGATCAGATGCATGTATATTTTTTTTTAATTTTTTTTATTTAATTTGAATTTTGACTCTTGGTGACATTTTTATGTTGTCTTACTAATGTTAAGGCTATGTTTGGTAAAACTAGCTGATAAGCTAGTTTATAGCTTATCAATAATTTTTTAGCTTATAACTTATAGCTTATGAGTTATAGTTGAAAAGATAGTTTATATAATAAAAGTGTTTGGTAAAATTAGCTGATAAGCTAGCTAGAATAAAATTTTCAACCAGCTTATTTGAAAAGCTAGCCAAAGAAGCTTATCAAGTAAGCTCGAGCTTTTTAAAAAAGTTCGTCCTAACAAACGGAGCTTATTTGAAAACAGGGAGCTTATAAGCTAAACAAATAAGATATAAGCAAGCTTATTTGTCTACCAAATATAGCCTAAGCCTCAATTTAAGCCAAGTAGGCTCGATTTGGCCGGTGGTACTAATCCTACTTGGCTAGAGACAAGTAGGCTCGATTTTTATTATTAATTTTGCTCATGTTCATCGCGAATTATATGTATTGCTAAAGTTCATCTCGAGTTATATGTAATCCTACTTGGCCATTGCACGTGTATAGGCGGCTACAGGTACACTGGACGGAATCATAGACACTGTCTCGACAAACCACTCTCTATTACCGTTAGTCAACCTCTTAAAACCTCACGGCAAGCTCATCTTGGTCGGTATACCGTCTAAACTCGAGGTCCCTATTTTCCCCCTACTTTTAGGTATATGCACAACCATCTCATTAACTCCTCACTAAATGTACACTCATTCATTTTGTATTGGATTTTGGGATGATTGATTGTTTTTTTTTTCTTCGTGACAATAGGTGGGAAGGCTATAGTAGGGACTGCTAGTGGGGGAATAAAAGAAACGGAAGAAATGCTCGATTTTTGCGCCAAGCACAAGATATTGCCGGAAGTCGAGATAGTACCAATGGATTATGTGAACACGGCCATGGAGCGTATCGAGAAAAACGACATCAAGTACCGATTCGTTATCGATGTTGGGAATTCATTGAAGGATTGATTGAGTGCTCCTAATTAAGTAAGATTGTCATTTGTCAAAGTATGCATGCCTATGTGCATGTGGTTGATCTTTATAAGGTTGTTTGTAATTTGAAATTATCTTAAGTGTTTCATGATAAGTACGTACACTCTTGTGTAATGTTGTATGTGGAGGTCCAATGTGTGTTGAATAAGGGCATCCCTCTCTGTGTGCATGTTGTTGATCCTTATAAGGTTGTAACTTGAATAATCTTAGGGTTTCATGATAAATAGTACTCTTGTGTAATGTTGTATGTGGAGGTCCAATGTGTTGACTTCTAATTGCTATCCAAGGCATATCAAGGGATAGTGTTGATCAATTTGAATATGCTACGTTTCATGCTACTAGTGTATACCCCGTGCGATGCACGGAAACAATATTAAATTAATAATATTATAAATAGACCTCGAGTTTGAACCACTCAATGACGAAAGTGGAAACTACTATTGTTCCTATTTAAAAAGAGGAAGCAAAAGAAATAATTATAAATTAAAGAGGAGGATAAACAATACTTAATAATTATAAATTAAAGATTCGAGGTCAAATAATGTAAAATTATTTTGTATAAGAGAATATAAAAAAATTTGATCACACCATTTCAAAATTATTATTATACTTTTTTGTATGGTTAGCTTATAATATTTGTAAAAATATTAGTAATTAGACCGATGAAAATTAGCTTCTTAAAGTAGATAATGGATTTTCAATAGTAATTATGAATTAGTTTCTATTTTATTTTATTTTTTCTTTTTAAAAATAATGAATTTCTAATATTAATTATGAATTGGTTTCTATTTTATTTATTTTTTAAAATCTGTATTAATAAGGGATGAGATTTTTTAAACACGTGAGATCGTATGCAATGGGATTTTGTAACAGAAGAGATAAGCGTGTAGATTTATACTAAAAATAGGAAAAAGAAAAACAAATATTTATTGTCAAACAACGGTTTTGATAAACTAAAAAAAATGAGCCGATTTTTTTGCCTATTCAGATTTGTCCAACAATTACTATATTAGAATATATTTAATGATTTTGGCGGGAAAAAGTTTCTAAATTTGTAAAAAGGTTATTCTTTTTATATAATCTAGACTAGCTATATTCCAAGTTACCTGCAAACAATTACAAGAGTCGCGTAAATTGAAACATATTAATGCATTTATTTTGAAATTTGACCTTGATAGTGTTTCGTTGGGGACACCATTTACATGTTACAAACATTACAAATATGGAGATGGTCAAAGTGTATTCTTAATTTGTTGAATGTCATGCTTGTAGTTACATAATAAGCTGACAAAATATAAATGAAAATAAAAAAGTAACTTAAAAATTCTAGTTACTAGAGAACGATGAAATCGGCAAATACTGTATACAAGACGAATAAATGGATTTTAGGATGTGTTCTTTTTCTTAGAAATAATTCACAATATATTTTTTATGTGATTAAATCCTATTAAATATTGCAGCTTGTAAAGATAAATATCTCTCAATTAATTTTCGTCTGTCTATCGCATAGTTTATAATGAAATCACATATTGCTTTGTATTACAAACTACCAAAATGCAAATTTAGAAGAATGGGTAATATTTGAAGTTCACACACCTGAAATTCACCCGTTGCTTGTAAGAAGTGGTCAAAGTAAAGCACCGAATTTTGAGATTCTCCCCATTCGATCTCCGTCGCAATGCTAAAATGTCATAGGAGACGCTGACCTCCATACTGTCCGACCTCTATCTCCTCGTATCCAACGGCTCTCAGGTCCTTCGCGACCACCAAATCCTATCATTGATCTATCGTGCGAGATTTTCGGTTCTTTGTTTTTTTTTCATAGTTACAAACAACAAGTGTTAAGTCAAATTCTTGCTGCAAATATTTCCTGCATGCACATATGAAGAGCAACAAATACTAACTTGGTTGTTCAGATTTATCTCTACAAATTATCTACAAATCAACTGTTAAATCAAATATGTTTAAGTTTCTTATGTATCAATATGTTTAAGTTCTACAAATCAACTGTTAATTAGATAAAAGAAACATAGTATGCTAAACTTTCTTATGTATCAATATGTTTAAGTTCTAGAAACAGAAAGAATTTAATTATCTTGAACTGAGTGGGAAGAAATAACTTCCTGTGCTCACCTTCTAGTTTACCCTTACTGAAAAAATAATTATGCCCGTGGATGCATCCATATATTAAGTAACAACTCCTATATGAAAAATAAAGTGCAAAAATAACTTCCTGTGCTCACCTTCTAGCTTGAAACGAAGTTTAGGCAATAAATTTAGCTTGAAACAATTCCAAATACCAGCCATGCTCCAAGTAGTTTTATCAGTTGATCTCGATTACTTAGGTGCTATAAAAACATAAAATGAATGTAAAATCAAATAAAAATGGGGATCGGACTAACTGCTGTGAATTTTGCTTTGGGTATGTTGGTAACAGTCGGTTGAATCTGGAAGGGGCCCATATAGTGATGCTGGCGTTGTTGATTTAGCTGATGGTGCAGCTCGACAACTTTTTGCTTCAATATGGACACATCTGCCTCTGCAAGATCAATCTCCTCAAGCTCGGCTCTCGTCTTCGTAAAATTTAAATATTTCATCAACAACATCACGTAAAGGCTTGACTATACACTTATATATGTGAAGGAATTGAGACAAACCTTAGAACCCATGCTACGAGATCCATAAAACTGATTAGAAGACATGCTTAAGCCAACTTCTAGAGCAGCTCGTAGGTCTCTTTCGGCGTGTAACTGTTCTTGGAGACTCACCACCTATGAAAGAGAAAATGCAAAAGTCAGTAAATTAACATGTCACACCAAAGCATGCAATTTGCATGTAAATTTCATGTAACATACCAATGAACTCAATTTGATTAACAGAAACTTACATCTTGTCTGAGCGCCAACTTTTAAATATGATTTTTGTTAATCTCCTTGCATTAATGGATAAATACAATGATATTTTGGTAATTCAAAACGTGTATACTAATCAGATAGAAAGGAAAAAGGATTAATTGACCAATACTTTCCCTGTCAACACACAGGTAGTATGGAAGAATTTGAAACATATCCCGTGCCAAAAACTACTGCAGCTCACAAAGATTGTATGAATAACAAACTTTTTTTTTTATTCTAACAAATATAGATATCCACAAAAACAAGCAAGTAATAAGAGTTCAACTTAGGGCAAAGTTTATGTTTTAGAGCTATCTACTTCCTACTTCAAATTTTAAATCCATTTTTGGCTGCAAACTTGGAGATTCTTCAGGCTTTTCTTCTTCTGATGAAACTATACCAGTGAATTGGATTTATCTCAAGCATGTGCTGCATTTTTTATTGCGAATTATATGCAAAGATGAGAAGCTGCAGCATGCACATAATTCATCAATACATTTCTCACGAAAAACTTCTTAACCAAATTCAAAATCCTCAAAATTGGCCATCTTGAACAAGAAAAAACAAAGTGATATATGTGCGAGCATTGGTCCATAGAAAATAATAAAATGGAGTCGAAAGAAAGAACTTTTTGCTTCAGACAAATCAATGCAAAAGCTTTTTGTCAAACACAAATAAAGCAGTAGTGACCCATTGAAGCCCGTGGGCCATTGAAGCACCTGCCACTGGAAAAAAGAAGTCCACTAATGAAACAAGATAAAGAATTAAAGATTTGAAGGCTAATAAAAGGTTTGATTTGACGCCTGCTATCACAAAAGGAAAGAAGACAACTTGCCTGTTATCGAGCATCTCAGCAGCACTATGGCACTGTTGTGCTATCACCAAAGCACAACAGGTACAGAAGTGGCTTTCATGTGAAGCTGACTCACGTCTCCATAGAACTTGAGACTTACATTTCCAAGCAGGTCTTCTGTTCTATCTTAAGTAATGAGGGGTTTCAAGCTTCTCTAAGATGATAGACGCATGATACAAGACAACTATCAGATATATTAATTCTCAGTCTTCGAGGTAGATTGTTTACCAATTGTTTGTAAGATCATAAAGCATCTTTAATTAGGAGCTAAGAAGAAAAGGATGTTCTCTAATTTCACACACAAATGTTCCCTAGAGACCAAACACAGCTTGCCACAGTTGAATGCAGGGTCGACACACGTTTCATCAATGCTGGAGTTGGTTTCCCCTTCCTCCGAAGATGCCATCTCCACAGTTGAAAATGAAAGCAAGGTGAAAACAAAATCAACAGAAACTAATCACAATTTGACAGACTATACATTAGATTACTCAAAACCAGCTAGGGGTTTTATTATTAAAGAATGACTACTCCTGCTCTTAGGTTTTTCATAATCAGCCTTCGCACGTACACAAAATGCAAATTCAGAATATGCAAAAAAATAAAAGTAGTAAAAAGGTAAAGCGGAGAGAATTACCTGAGCTTCAGGTCGACAATGTTTCCAGTCACGTTCAGTTCCTGCCATTTATCTCCTTTAGAAGCCTATACCTCATACAATATTCGTCAATCTTACATTCATTGGGCTCAACCTATTACCAAAATATATAAAATCTAAATACCATGCCAATAAAAAATCTGAAAAATAAAAATATTGCCATCATGTCTTTGGTGCCGACCAGGTGAGGATGAAAAGCACGGCAAAAGCCACAGACATAAGCCCGAACCGGTCCGTGCATGACCTCTTCAGAAACTCCATATAGTAGTGCCGCTGCCATCGCCCGAAATTGTCGGTTGTCACCGCTCACGAGCGCGGTCTGCCGATCTCGGCTGTTGTAATCATTTTTAGGGTCTGTCGATTGAGAGAAAAATCAGGTGAAAAAAGGTAGGGTTTGTGAGAGAAAATTAGCAATGAAATACAAAGAGACAATGAAAACAAATATGGCTAACAAAGCCAAATGAGACACTAATCTGTATGGAAAAGAAGAAGGCACCAAAAAGGTCACTGAAATGAAACCTGGATTTGAGTAGCCACACAGAGAATAATGAAATTCTCTCCTCTTTCACCTTCTTATCTTCCTCTTTAATTTTCATTGTCTGTGAATGTTGTGTGGTGAAGTAGCGTGCGGGAGTGAACAAAAAATTTTGATGAGAATCTGATGGGAAAGTGCTCACGTTGTTGAGCAAAAAATCCGGAAAAGGTATGGTAAAAGCGTGTCTCTTCTTCCAAAATTTGTCGGTCAATGCAGGGGCTTCATTTGTAAAAAGAGCGAAAGTTAAAGGGTATTTTGGTTTGAAAAAATTGCCACGTGTCGCCACTTAAAGCAACCTCTTATTCTCTTATATGTAAGATAGAGAAATGGTAAGAAGATGCATGGAGGAGTACCTGTCATATAAATATTTCTTAGTAAGTGTCGACACATTTATAAATGTGTAACTACTAAAATATGAAACGTTGTTTATAAATTACAGTACTCATCCTCAAATCATTAAAAAGGACACTTGTCAACCAAAATGGAACACATGTCGCCTATAGAAGACTACACTTCTAAATAAGAGGGATTCGCGCATAATAAAATGATGAAATCACCCCAATTCACAAAAATCAATTGTAAATTGTTTTGTTGGTGCTGCATGAGTGCTTCATTCAGAATCAGAAGTCTCCTGTCAACAGTCAACAATTAAATAATGAAAATATGTTGGTGTGTGGGTTTTATTTGAAATATCCTGAAACACTACAAAAACAACTAACAGTCTCTAGAATAATACCAAAGAAAAAAAAAAGAGAAAGGAAGCGATCAAGATAGGAATAGACCTTTGTCACCTCTTCGAGAATATTCGGGGATAAAGAATTCTTCATCTTGTTGGATGCCGTCTTCAGCAAGCCGAATAGCCGTCGTCTCCATTAAAGGGTTGCCCAAGTTATTGACGGCATACACGATCTCCTTTAAAATCGCTCGTCCAGCATGAATCCCACGTATCACGCGATTCAAACGGAGTTTGAATATGGGATTTTGATCCACAAATTACGTCACCGTTTATTCAGCTACCACAGATCCTGAGCGTAAAAACTGTGGACGAGACAACACTACAGACTGAAATCACAAAATATTAGTAAAGAAAGTCAACCACACTATCAATTAATTATGCAAAACAATAGCTTACTTTGCATAGCAGTGCACACCTAGTCCAGATAAGTCTCAAAATGTGTGTATTTCAAGCATGGACATTTTGAGGTTTATTTGGACTTGATGTGCACTGTTATGCACAATGTTAGAAGTAAGTTATTGTTTTGCATAATTAATTGATAGGGTTGACTTTCATTACTAATATTTTGTGATTTCGGATGTAGAATTGCCTCGTCCACAGTTTTTACTCTCAGGATCTGTGGTAGCTAAAAAAACGCTGACGCAATTTGGGAATCAAAATCTCATAATCAAACTCCGTTCATATCGCGTGATACGTGGGATTCGTGCTGGACGAGCGAATTTGAAGAAGATCGTTTACGCCGTCGATAATTTGGGCAACCCACTAATGGAGACGGCGACTATTCGGCTTGCTGGAGACGACCTCCAATAAGATGAGGAAATCCTTATCCCCGAATATTCTCGAAGAGGTGACGAAGGTCTTCTCCTATCTTGATCGCTCCCTTTCTCTTTTTTTTCTTTGGTATTATTTTAGAGACTAATAGTTGTTTTTCTAGTGTTTCAAGATACTTTAAATAAAACCCAAACACCAACATCTTTTCATCATTTAATTATTGAACTCTGCCTCTGTTGACATGAGACTTCTTCTTATTCTAAATGAAGCACTCATGCAGTGCCAACAGAATATACAATGGTAGTACAATTGAATTTTGTGAATGAGGTGATTTCATCATCTTATTATGCGCGAATCTCTCTCTTATCTAGTGTGTGGTCTTCTATAGGTGACAAGTGTCCCATTTTGGCTGACAAGTGTCCGTTTTAATGATTTGAGGATGAGTACTGTGTAATTTCTAAACTATGAACGAGGCAACACTACAGACGAAATCACAAGATATTAGCAAGGAAAGTCAACCACACTATCATTTAATTATGTAAATGTATAACTTACTTCTAACATTATGCATTGTTCTGCACACCAAGCCAAGATAAACCTCAAATACACAGTTACTAGAAACTTAGCATGATGCTGTAACTTTTCAATCGTTATCCGGATCTTAATTCTAAGTATCAAAATAACTATTCCGTTGTTGAAAAATTACAGCATCATGCTAAGTTTCTGATAACAGTGTATTTCAAGCATGGACATTTTGAGGCTTATCTGAACTTGTTGTGCACTGCCATACACAATGTTAGAAATAAGTTATTGTTTTGCATAATTAAATGATAGTGTGGTTGACTTTCATTACTAATATTTTATGATTCGGATGTAGCTTTGCCTCATCCACAGTTTTTACACTCAAGATCTGTGGTAGCTGAAGAAACGGTGACGCAATTTGCGGATCAAAAACCCATAATCAAACTTCGTTTGTATCGCGTGATACATGAGATTAATGCGGGACGAGCTATTCATTTTTTATGTTCTGCCATGGCTGAATCAGCATAATGGAGTGGAATTATTTGTGAGACTTTGAACATCTCTTATATATATACCGAATTGTTTTAGGATAAACGTCCACCGTCAAGGTTGTATCTAAATTCTACCTACATCAGATCGTTTGATTTCTTCATGAATGATGACAAATTGGCGAAAACGATATGATGGTAAATAATTTACTAACGGTTCACAAATAAGCATACATCCAATAAATACAATAATAAGTAAACTAACTATAGTTGCTACTTAACTGTTGCTCGACTGACTGACTATAATTGCTGCTCGACTGACTGACTATAATTGTTGCTCGACTTTCGAGAAAGACACTTGGCTATAAAGGAACCGACCTCTAGGTCGTTACCCCTTAGGAAAGAAATATTATAACCACATCTGAAATTTCAACTTAACTCAAAATTGTTCTAAGGTTTTTAATTCATCTAACTCAAAGCTACACTAGAGTTCTTATCTCCTCTTAACTACTTAACTAGAAAGGACTTACTCGCTAGGTTATTGCCCCGGGCAAACTAACTCCTACATACATACCTAAGCCAAGACATTGCAATTTTAGAAAATGTAGTACCCAGTACAGGGTCCCACAAAAGTGCAAGTGACTTTCCACAAGCTACAAAATATATAAGCACAATATATGTTCTAAGTAATTAGCTCAAACTGAAAAACTCGAATCTTATCGTCTGATCTGACTGGGTTCGCTCACTCAGTTTTAAAATCCTTTTAAAATCATTTTAGGAATTTACAAGCTAGTTTTTGAAAATATTAATGTCTTTGGGGCATATTAGAGTTCTCTAAAATATTTCTAAGTCTGAAACTGTAATCTGACTAGAATCTAATTTGACTGAGTCTAATCTAACTGAATCTTACCTGTCTGGTTCGAAAAGACTGGATTCTCAGTTCAAGCTCAAAACAATGTTTCAAATTGAACTCCCGAACCGTCCGAATTGCCCGAACTGATTCTGACTAACTGAAATTCTCTTCGAATCGTCCGGACTGGTTCAACTGAACTGGCCCGATGACTTAATTGGAGCCGATCGATCATCCGCTGGCTATGTGCAGCTCGACTTGACCGCGGTCCAGGTTCGGCATGGCAACTCGGGGCCTGCACAAACACGAACACAGCTGACACGGCTTTGCCAATGCACGGGATTGAAACGGTGCGACGTCAAACAGTGGCATTCTTGGACAACGGCTAACAAAAAAAACAGCGCGTTAGCGGTAGACTGGACGGACTTGTTGGACGAGCGCGCACTCAGTGGTTCAAGTGCACAGGCACACACTCGGTTCGGATTCTGTGCACGGGCACGCACTCAGTGGTTCGGCTCCAACAGTCGGACGAGAGTCGAACACTGACAGTACACGTTGAGGATACGTGTTAATGTTGGTTACGCTCGCTACGAGGTACTCGGCCTTGATAGCCTTCTTAGGCTCGGTTATCATCCCGTAGGCGACTAACCGGCTAACCGATCACATCCCGACACCCAAATACTCATTTATAATCTTATGACGTCTAAAGTTGTTTAAATGGAACTAAAGTTCGAGCGATTACACTCTGATCCAAAATTTACCTAGTTATCGGAATCGAATAAAACTAGGGTTCTCGATTCTAAAAAATCCCAACTCGTTTAAAGTCGAAAATTAAAACATAATTTCTATGTGATTAATAAGGACTTTACATCCAACCACTGCAGCTAAATCGCAACCGGACTAATTTCTAAATTGTCTCGATTAGTAATCTATATCAAACGACCACCAAAAATTATGAAATTTTAACCACAACATACTCAATATATTTATGATTTTTGGTTAACATCTAACAGCCATAATGAGCTCCTAACTCGGTCAACTAAAATCAGACATTATCGTTTCAAATTCACAAAATCAGTTCAACTATCAAATGAACTCCAAAATTCACCAAATTAGAACATAAGCCTCAAGACATCAAAATAGGATTTATCAAGTTGGTTTCATAATTTTCGGGTCAGCCCACTATTTATTAAGAATTTCTTGCCATTTAACTCAATAAACTCATATAAATTTATATCTTCCTTGAAAATTCCCAAACTCATTTTTATAATTAACTAAAATTGTTGTCTAATGACATGGAGAAAGGGTTTCGACCGTTATACCTGGTTCGAAACGAAAATTGAAAGATAGCTAGGGCTAGTGAACCCTTGGTTGTGCTCAGAATCGGGCCGGGCTAGCGGATCGGGCTTGGATCTGGGGCGGTCAACTCGGTTCATAGCTGAGGGGGTCGGATCTGTGCTGAACCCGTCGGTTTTCGAGCAGGCTCGACCGATCGGGGCTGAAACCAGGACTGAGCTGGCTCGGTTGGCCTGTATCGACGATGGCTAGCTCGGTTCGGATACAAGGCGCGCCGACTGAGGTGGTGCTACCGGCGGCTCGAGCTGTGGTTCGCCGGAAAACGGAGCTGCCGGCGTATGGAAGGGCTCGCGTGGCTGGACCGTGAACCGAGGCGCGCTGCTGGAAGTGAAGCGGGGCTGGACGCGTCGAACGGAGGCTGGTCGTCGCGGGTTCAAGCTGCCGGCGTCGAGGGTCGGGTCGACGGCTTGAAGGACTCGCCGGAAACCTGAGATGAAGGACTGGCCGGAAAATGGGCGGGAGAGAGGCTGCGACGGGACGAACGGTGGACTGGCCGGAGCTGGCTGCGACGCCGTGGAGACCGTGAGCTGCTTCCTGAAGTGAAGCGGTTGCCGGCGGGGACTCGACGGCGGCGTGAGCTGAACGGCGAGCTTGGTGGCGTGAGGAGGCTGCCGGCGGGTGGTGTGGCTGGAACCGCGAGAAGGTGGCTTAGACGTGGTCGCCGGCATGAAGCAGGGAGGTCGCCGGCGGGAGGTTGCCGGAAAACGGCAGTGACTGGACGGATGGCTAGGGTTTTATAATGGAGAAGATATATATATATAGATGAGAGAGTGTTAGGTTTTGTGATAATTTTGGGCTTCCCGTTTGGGCTTGGACTACAAACTTCCCAATTAACTGACTTGGGCTCAAAAGAAATGCTACTCGGCTTAAGGTTGACTCGATAAATTTTATACTACTTGAACCGAGTAATTAGAATAGCGGTTCGATAATTTAAACTACTAAGGCTCGATTAAATAATACTTGGACCGAGAAAATAATACGATAGTTTCAATTAAAATTGTCTTCAATATCGAAAATTAACAGGCCGGATTAAATAATTGAAGGTGGGCTCAATTAAATGGGCCAAACGATATGGACTCGAATTATTAATATGGCTCGAATTATAAAATGACGGCTCAATTAAATGGGCCTACTTCATATCTCAATTGAATACTAAGAGCATCCATAATGTTTTGGGTTCAATCTCAAAAAATTACATGTCACATAAGAAATAGACTCAATCCAAAAAAATATATTCTCCAATACAAATAAAAGTAGACTGGGTTCTGCTGATGTGCAGCAAGAAAAAGAAAGCTGGTCTCCCCTTAAGTCTATTTTAGACCCAAGTAGAGACTTGGTCTTTTTGCATTGGAGTGAATTTTATTAATTTTATATAGTTTTATCCACGTCATCTAAGATTTGAGTTTATTTACTTGCTACATAAACAAGACTAGACTCAATGCATTGAAGATGCTCTAACATGTTTCGGATGCCACATAATCAGATTGGTACACCAAATAATATGCTCATGATCTAAACATGAATATTTTCATAATTTAAAAATTACTTCCTTAATATTTTTTCAGTTGCTCGTCCATTTTTTAGTTTTTCCATAAACATGTAATTTTTTTTCAATAAGAATTGTATTCTAACGATATAGATATGCAAGCCTAGAAGGATTTTTTGGTTAAAGAAAATGCGATAAATTATTCATTTTTTCAAAACAATTAATTTTTAAATCCTTGATAATGATATATTAATGTATGTGATTTACGTAACTTATTAATATTCATAAAAAAAAAAAAAAAATCATTATTTTTCAAGTAGACATGTACCAAGGTACAATAAATGCCAACTTAAGAAGGAGAACAAAATAAAATTCAACAAAGTTTTGTCCAACATATAATATGATTTATTATTTTCCTTTTGTGGTCCAACCACTTCAAGACACTCTCATTCCGTTGACGTATGTGTGGATTTATATCTTCTTAAAATATTAGGACACATTCGTATAAAAAAATTTAAAAATGCGTTTGTAGTTTGTACACACTGTAAATCAATATATATGACATACTTAATAGGTAGTAGATTATTGATTAATTCATTTAACATTAATAATAGACCAAGTTTAGAATATAATGATGGTAACCCATCTTGGACAGTTGACAGTGTGAATAATAGGCCATTAACTAACTAACTAATCATATTTTTATGGCTGCTTAATTTGTGCAGGGGCCTCACACAGGGTGGTCAAAGTTCATCTCCTCCGGTCAAGCTCCGTGTATCAGACAAGCATGTAAGATTTAAGAGCAAAGCCAAAAAAATAAAAAATAAAAAGGAAAATTATTGACAGAAAATACATATATATATATATAGTGATAATATTTTTTTGACTTCCATGTTCATATTAGTTTTAATGTCCAATTGTCCATGTTACTTGTTACTATATATTAGTGTATTTTTGCATAATTTTTCAAGAAAAAAATTAAAAAAAGAACAAAATAACGAATAGTACTAACTTAATTAAGTTGATTGCATGGTTGTGAAATGTGAGATCAAACCACAATATATGATCACATAAACTTTAATTTTTTCATTTTTTTATTTGGAAATGTTCTTGCAGGTGGAGATTGATAACGGCATTGGTCGACTTACATTGTTGAAACCGAGCGGCTCTATCACAGGCGTAGGTTATAGAGGAATCAAAAACATTCTCGAGTATAAAACTGTGGAAGATCGAAGAGGGTGAGTATTGAGTAGAATAGCTTCAAAACTTAAAAAATCTTGTTAAAGCCCTAACCTTTTTTTTTTTGTCATTCTTGTTAATAAGCTATAAGCTAATTTATTTGTTAAGACACAAGCTTTTTCGACACGTAAAAATCTCAAATTCTAAAACCATTCTCAATATGTAATGGAATGGTCACAAGTTAAAATTCTGTTTTTGCTCCTCTGTACTTATATGTGCAGGCTTGACAGTACAAACTTCAAAGTTGCAGCAGAAAATGAAGATCAGATTGAAGTCTCATTCACCAAGACGTTGAGCGAGTCCCGTGGTGAAAAAATCGCACCTCTCAATGTCGACAAAAGGTGCATTTTTTCAATTTCACGATTAATTATGTTTTTTTTTAAAAAAAAAAATTACGTTGATAAAACAAAATTTAACTATGATTTTAAGATTTATATTCTCTGGTTTATAGTCCTTCGTGGGGTATCTGGTTTCTACTCGTATGCAATATTCGAGCACTTGGAAGGGTGGCCCGATTTGAACATCAACCAAGCAAGAATTGCCTTCAAGCTTCACCAGGACAAGTAAAGAATTGTTATGCATTGTTGATAAATAATGCTGTCAAATTATTATTATTAGTTCAGGAAAAAAA